TGGTAGTGGTGGTGGTGGGGGGGGGCTGCTGTTGGTGGTGGTGGTGGGGGGGGCTGCTGTTGGTGGTGGGGGTGGTGGTGGTGGTGGGGCTGCTGTTGGTGTTGGTGGTGGTGGGGCTGCTGCTGCTGTTGGTGGTGGTGGTGGTGGGGCTGCTGCTGTTGGTGGTGGGGCTGCTGCTGCTGCTGTTGGTGGTGGGGCTGCTGCTGCTGCTGTTGGTGGTGGGGCTGCTGCTGCTGCTGTTGGTGGTGGGGCTGCTGCTGCTGTTGGTGGTGGGGCTGCTGCTGCTGCTGCTGGTGGGATTCCTAATACATTAACACTAATGTGACGTGGATTGTTACGTCTTCTCGCGCGTAAGTGTTCAAGGTCTCTGTTGTGAGTAGTACTTGTTGCTGACCCCCGCGTGGACACCACCCTCACCTCACCAGCAGTTACCTTCCCTGGTAACACACTCACCCCCCCCCCCCCCCACCCTATACCCCACCACCTGCCTGGCGGCCTATTTGGTCTGGGTTCGAGTCCTGGCCAGAGAAGTTTGATTAGGCGCCAATGCTTAACAGTTCGCAACTACCTACCCAGTAGTAATTGGGTACCTAGTTGCTTACCGATTTATGGGTCGTGTTCCAGGGGAAACTATAGTGGGTAAGGCTTACTGTGAGCTATGGGAAGGGAAAGCTCTCGGCCTGCTGACAGGAGTCAGAACTCATCTACTAATGTACTCACCCGTGTAAAGAGATGGTCAGCTGTTACCGGTGCAGCTGACCATCACGAGGCGACGCGCTCCAAGTTGTTTGGGCTTCACTTACACCGGATCAAGTTCTCACGGCCCTCAACCCCCACCCACACACCCTACCAAGAAACACTCATACACATACACATACACGTACACAAGATACAACCACGCACCCAGAGACTGACAATCCTACCATCCCCTCAAAGTTGCCTCTCTCACTTCCCCCTCCCTTGTTTGCCCTTCTATTTCCCTTCCATCTCCATTCATCTCCTTCCATCCCTTTCCTTTCCGTCCCTCCTTCCGTCAAGTCTGGCGTCTGAACACAACAACGTTTGTGGTGGGTGTAATTAAGGATGTTTGGGCGTCTGGCCTGCTTGCAACACTGGGTGCTTGGTGTGGGCGTCTGGCCTGCTTGCAACACTGGGTGCTTGGTGTGGGCGTCTGGCCTGCTTGCAACACTGGGTGCTTGGTGTGGGCGTCTGGCCTGCTTGCAACACTGGGTGCTTGGTGTGGGCGTCTGGCCTGCTTGCAAACACTGGGTGCTTGGTGTGGGCGTCTGGCCTGCTTGCAACACTGGGTGCTTGGTGTGGGCGTCTGGCCTGCTTGCAACACTGGGTCCGCTTCCTCAACACATGAAGTGTTCCCCTTGATTATGCTTCATTATTAAATTAGTTATTTATATTAGAAATGCGTGTTATTAATAATAAACATTCTTCGTTTATTATTATTATAAATAGTTGGAACCCCAGTATGGAGGATACATTAATTTTGGTCTCATTTGTAGCTTGGTTTCTGAACGATACCTTGGGCCAGGTTTCTTAAATTACTTGTACGGCACATTATGCCAGAACTCATTTTGTGATCGTGGTTACCGTAGTCTCCTGAGCGTCGGGGTGTACTCCAGTTTTTAACATACCCGCCGCTGTGAGGGTCTTTTATGCTGTCAAGAACTGCACTCACAATACCAGCTGCCAGAACCATACTTTTTGTCCCTACAATAACGCTATTAGAGAGTTTATAGGAGAGTTTATAGGAGATCACAGGACGAATATTGTCCTACCTTGGTGAAGGGCCCCCTGAGGTATATTAATAAATGTTATACACCTGTATGTTAAGCATAAAGCTCGAGAGGGGATATATATATATATATATATATATATATATATATATATATATATATATATATATATATATATATATATATATATATATAATAATATATAATAAAATATGAGAATCTTGAAGTGAACATGTATTGATAGGTATATTTTTCGCCATGCAGAATTCCTACCTAGAATCTTTACCATTTCCCTCCCCATTCTCTACTACCTACCTTTCAAGCATGTCTCAAGCCACACCCTTCACCATCTTCAGCCATTACTGCATGAGGACCACCATGGCACCTGTGCACTAACGACTCTACTGATGATGGCAGCCCCTCTAACGAGCGTCCTCCACGGCCTTGTCCCTCACACTGGTGACACGGAGACGTCCTTTGTCTCTCCCCCGTCCAGAGTGTCCAGACATGTCCAGTGTGGCACTCACGGCACTCACATTCCCCTATCCCCATCCTTCCTGGCCAGTTGGCACCCTTCCTCCTCCTCCTCCCTGGCGGCACCACTCTAAATACCTGTTGTGTAGGTGGAGAGGCTCCCCGCCTCCTGCCTGTCACTCACCCTGGCACTTCCTTCAGCGCTGATGGCCCTCCTTTCTTATCTTTCATTTTTCTTGGAATTATTACTTTTTTCTTAGTCTTCAGTTTGTTCTTCGGCGTTTCTCGCCTTTCGTCTCGTCGTTGGTAAGTTATCGTTCATCTTTTGTTTTCATTGTGACACTTTTTTGCCTGTACTCTATATATATATATATATATATATATATATATATATATATATATATATATATATATATATATATATATATATATATATATATATATAACTGAAAACTCACACCCCAAAAGTGACTCGAACCCATACTCCCAGGAGCAACGCAACTGGTATGTACAAGACGCCTTAATCCACTTGACCATCACGACCGGACAAAATGAGGTGATAGCCGAGGCTATTTGAACCACCCCACCGCCGGCACTCGGATAGTAATCTTGGGCATAGCATTTTACCAAATCACCTCATTCTTTGGGGCACACGTGAGGAACACAAATGCGAACAAGCCTGAATGGTCCCCAGGACAATATGCAACTGAAAACTCACACCCAGAAGTGACTCGAACCCATACTCCCAGGAGCAACGCAACTGGTATGTACAAGACGCCTTAATCCACGCCTTAATTGTCCGGTCGTGATGGTCAAGTGGATTAAGGCGTCTTGTACATACCAGTTGCGTTGCTCCTGGGAGTATGGGTTCGAGTCACTTCTGGGGTGTGAGTTTTCAGTTGCATATTGTCCTGGGGACCATTCAGGCTTGTTCGCATATATATATATATATATATATATATATATATATATATATATATATATATATATATATATATATATATATATAAAATCCAGAGGAATCTCTTGTACTGGGATTGCATAAATACTGTAATATACTTTAGAAAATTAACTGCCTTTAAATCCTGTCTGAAATGTGTAAAGCAAGTCAAAAAGTAAGGATTTTAAGATCCGTATTACCAACTCGTAGCAAAACGTAAACAAACTTGGCTCTACAGATTAATTTGTGGGGTTAACAGGGATTAGTGGAAGCTGTCGCTCTACGCTTAGTTGACGCTGGTTGGTGATTACTTGGCTACTCTGTTAATATCCGGCCTCACCCCACTAACTTGTGTCTTGTTAGGCAAACTTGAGAGCAGGGGCAGAGAGGGAGGCTACGGAGTCTGTGTCGGGGGGGGGGGTATATTGTGAGTGTATGTGTCGGGGGAGTATAGTGGTATATTGTGAGTGTGTGTCGGGGAAGTATAGTGGTATATTGTGAGTGCGTGTCGGGGGAGTATAGTGGCTTATTGTGAGTGTGTGTGTCGGGGGGGTATAGTGGCTTATTGTGAGTGTGTGTGTCGGGGGGGTATAGTGGTATATTGTGAGTGTGTGTGTCGGGGGAGTATAGTGGTATATTGTGAGTGCGTATCGGGGGAGTATAGTGGCTTATTGTGAGTGTGTGTGTCGGGGGAGTATAGTGGTATATTGTGAGTGTGTGTCGGGGGAGTATAGTGGTATATTGTGAGTGTGTGTCGGGGAAGTATAGTGGTATATTGAGGGTTGTTGAGCCTATATGAAGTATTGATGAACTATGGGGGGGGCGGGGGCGGCAGTGCTTGTGAAGGTAATGCTTAAGGTATGATGAGGCATTTTTGTTTGCATATATATCAGTATATATATATATATATATATATATATATATATATATATATATATATATATATATATATATATATATATATATATATATATATATATATATTACTCCCTCATGATCGTAGGCTCCTACAGTACCTCTACTGGGTCCACAGCTTCTCCCTCTCTGTAGATTCCCTCCCTCCCTCCCTCCCTTCGGCCACACTACCTGTTCCCTCCCTACCTCTCTCCCTCCCTCAGGCCACACTACCGTCGTTGGTAGTGTGCCCTCCCTCCCTCCCTGAGGCGTCACTAACTGCCCCTTCCCTCAGGCGTCACTAACTGCCCCTTCCCTCAGACCTCACTAACTGCCTCTTCCCTCAGACCTCACTAACTGCCCCCTTCCCTCAGACCTCACTAACTGCCCCCTTCCCTCAGACCTCACTAAGTGCCCCTTTCCCTCAGACCTCACTAACTGCCCCCTTCCCTCAGACCTCACTAAGTGCCCCCTTCCCTCAGACCTCACTAACTGCCCCCTTCCCTCAGACCTCACTAAGTGCCCCCTTCCCTCAGACCTCACTAACTGCCCCCTTCCCTCAGACCTCACTAAGTGCCCCCTTCCCTCAGACCTCACTAACTGCCCCCTTCCCTCAGACCTCACTAAGTGCCCCCTTCCCTCAGACCTCACTAACTGCCCCCTTCCCTCAGACCTCACTAACTGCCCCCTTCCCTCAGACCTCACTAACTGCCCCCTTCCCTCAGACCTCACTAACTGCCCCCTTCCCTCAGACCTCACTAACTGCCCCCTTCCCTCAGACCTCACTAAGTGCCCCCTTCCCTCAGACCTCACTAACTGCCCCTTCCCTCAGGCGTCACTAACTGCCCCCTTCCCTCAGACCTCACTAAGTGCCCCCTTCCCTCAGACCTCACTAACTGCCCCCTTCCCTCAGACCTCACTAACTGCCCTCTTCCCTCCGGCAGGGTTCCTCAACACCAACGAGAACCCATACCTGCGCTCCATCACCAACTACGGCCTCATGGACCAGACGGCGGCGCTCCACTGGGTCAAGGAGAACATCGCCGAGTTCGGCGGCGACCCCGAGAACGTCACCATCTTCGGCCACGGCACCGGGGCCGCCTGCATCAACTTCCTCATGACCTCCAAAGCCGTGCCCAAGAGTAAGTTGGCGGTGGTTCTTGTTACCCAGGTGGTCAAGTAATATTGTCCTGTGTATTATATAATATTGCCATCCAGTACGATGTTTTATTTGGTTAGTACTTGGCATGTTACTGTTAGGTGTGATTACTGAGTTAGATTTACCAAAGAAAAATGACGTATTAAAATGTATTTTCAGTAAGAAAAACATTGTACAAGGTGAAATTGGTTCATTTAGAAGTTTTGCCTAAAACGCATTATATATATATATATATATATATATATATATATATATATATATATATATATATATATATATATATATATATATATATATATATATATATTATAATTAGGCCAAAATTTACCGAAGCACCCTTACCACCAGATGAATCCACTTACACTCCAGACTGAGCTTCCTTGAGTCGATGGACTCACCAGACAGAGCGCCTCGGGGCGCCGTGTATTAAGCCAGATACAAAAATGCTAAACAATGCCAGTAAATAATGTTGCTTAAATGAGAGCGTCTCTTTGTGAAGGGTGGTGGAGGGAGGACGAGAGCCCCTCTGACCCTCCAGCACCGCCACGCTCCCTTCCCACACTTCATCTTAAGCCTTACCTTACTTCCCAACAGCACCACCTGCTGAGAGGTTTTCAACCTGGTCCCCAATTATTGCTTTGTGACGAGGGGGAAGACAGTTGAAGGTGGGTGCCCAAGGGGTCCACCGTGCCCGGGGCATGGTCCTGGTGAGTGTGGGTGTAGAGTGCCCGGGGCATGGTCCTGGTCAGTGTGGGTGTCGCAGTGTAGAGTGCCCCGGGGCATGGTCCTGGTGAGTGTGGGTGTCGAAGTGTATAGTGCCCTGGGGCATGGTCCTGGTTAGTGTGGGTGTCGAAGTGTAGAGTGCCCGGGGCATGGTCCTGGTTAGTGTGGGTGTCGAAGTGTAGAGTGCCCGGGGCATGGTCCTGGTGAGTGTGGGTGTCGAAGTGTAGAGTGCCCCGGGCATGGTCCTGGTTAGTGTGGGTGTCGCAGTGTAGAGTGCCCGGGGCATGGTCCTGGTTAGTGTGGGTGTCGAAGTGTAGAGTGCCCCGGGGCATGGTCCTGGTTAGTGTGGGTGTCGCAGTGTAGAGTGCCCCGGGGCATGGTCCTGGTTAGTGTGGGTGTCAAAGTGTAGAGTGCCCGGGGCATGGTCCTGGTCAGTGTGGGTGTCAAAGTGTAGAGTGCCCCGGGGCATGGTCCTGGTCAGTGTGGGTGTCAAAGTGTAGAGTGCCCCGGGGCATGGTCCTGGTCAGTGTGGGTGTCAAAGTGTAGAGTGCCCCGGGGCATGGTCCTGGTCAGTGTGGGTGTCAAAGTGTAGAGTGCCCCGGGGCATGGTCCTGGTCAGTGTGGGTGTCAAAGTGTAGAGTGCCCTGGGCCACCATTCCGCCATACTTATATTTTACATAAATTTTTATGCTAATGAAAATTTTCAATTACTTTAATTAACGAAGCCGAAGGTATCCTGACCTAATTCTGTGAATTGTCTCTATTAAAGAGGACGTTGGCGACGTATATAACGTTTGCTATGATCAGCAGTCGGTAAATGTGTGAAAATATTTCTTCACTTCCTTGAAAAAATAAGACCGGGAAGTCTTAAGCATCTCAACGTCCTGCTGATGTCAAACTCAAATCTTATGAACTACAGAAAGCTAGATAAATCATCACCAAATATTACATACTGTATAGATATTCTGTTGCCAGAGAGTGATCAGGAAAGTTCATCAATCATTTTAATGGATAAGTCATTTTTCAACCAATTTCACGTCATTGGCAGGTACTGTCCACATCCATGTCCTAATCTGCTACGATCTATGTTCTTATCCTAATCTGCTGTGGTCTGTGTCCTTGACTTAGTCTACTACAGTGTTTCACTAAATAATACAAAAAAATGCTCATATATGATGATGCTTCTCTCTCCCTTCGTCACGGCCAGGTCCCCGCCTCTTCCATCGAGCCATCCTGATGAGCGGCTCGTCGCTGGCTCCCTGGGCCCTGGTGAGGGACCCCATGAAGTACACGCACCAGCTGGCCAAAGTGCTCAACTGCTCTCACACGCCCCTCGGAGACGAGCTTAAAAGGTGTCTGAGGACCAAGAGCTGGCACTCCATCGTCAAGGCCCAGGTCGAGGTAAGCAGCTACTACTGAAGGCAACGGAAGGTCACCTGGAGGATCTACGATGTAGGAGTCATTGCCTCTCAACACTACTATTATACGCTAGTTATGACTTAATTTTACACAATTTTCTTGGAACCAACTTTGGGCTTAGTTTCAACAGTGCAGGAAGTGCTGAGTGGGGCAAACACTGTCTTAACTTAGAATAATGGTGCATAATATATATATATATATATATATATATATATATATATATATATATATATGTATATATATATATATATATATATATATATATATATTATTTATTTGTCAGCGCTCACAACTATAGCCTCAGGGCTCATAACTATATCCCCAGGGCTCATAACAATAGCTCTAGGGTTCACAACAATAGCCCCAGGGGGCGCAAAACAATAGCACCAGGGATCTCAACAACAGCCCCCGGGAGCTCACAACAGTAGCCTCAGGGAGCTCACAACAATAGCCCCATGGGACTTACAGCAATAGCCCCAGGGGGCTCACAACAATAGCCCCAGGGGGGGTTCACAACAATAGCCCCCGGGCTCACAACAATAGCCCCAGGATCTCACAACAATAGCCCCCGGGCTCACAACAATAGCCCCAGGGGGTTCACAACAATAGCCCCAGGAGCTCACAACAATAACCCCAGGGGACTCACAACAATAGCCCCAGGGGACTCACAACAATAGCCTATTTATCACGTTAGTTCTCCTTGTTTCCAACGATAGGTCAGACTTGGGTGCTAGCATATCATTTTATTTTTCATTGTGATTTTATTCACGGACGTGTTTGCCAGACCAGCCATTACTCCAACTTAGCTCCTTGTTATACCAGTAAATACAAAATAATTATCATATTATTTTAAATGATAACGGAAGTTTAATCCCGGTCCGTATTGCTGTTGCGGTGAACATTATTAATCATTAATATATTCTACCGTATTTTTCCCCTAATGGGTCTTCTTTCTGCTCCACGTAAATGCCTTTCATCCCCATGAAAACGGGAACAGGACTTAACAATGGTTCAAATATCAACAGAACAATAACGGTAAAATCAATGTGAAACGGGAGGATAAATGTGTGTATGTTGTAGTCAACAATAGATGCAGCTTATCAAAACAAAACAGAAACGAAGCTAACAAAACAAGACCAATTTATAAACAACTGGGCAAATGATGATTCATGGAACTGAGGTCATGGAGCATAATTCAGGTCCATGAAATGCTCGGGAAGCTTGGCCAAGCCATTCGTATTTCAGCATGAAGATTTATGCTCATATCTTGGAGAGGAAAAAGCCTTGTGGAAGGGAGGAATGGATAAGAGAAGTGTGAAAGAATGGAGTTGGAGGCTGGCTGGTATGTGTCCTAGCAGAGTTACGACCACACTCTCACTGACCCAGCACACTGTTTGTGTTGAGTTACGACCACACTCTCACTGACCCAGCACACTGTTTGTGTTGGACAGACGTTAATCTGTGTGTGTGTGTGGGTATGTGTTTCTGTATGTAGGATCAATTAGCATTTTATAAGCACTGCAATCACCTTCTGTGGTTGACTGTTCAATAAAACTCTGAACTATATGTTTAACAGCTCTCTGTCCCTGTCCATGGAGGACAGGGCTGGTATCATGGTATCATATTGAGGTATCATGGTTGATACCTAGGGCTGAGGTGGACAAAGAAACCGAAGGCAAGTTACAGCCAGGGTATCAACCAATTTAAGACTGACGTTAACTAACAGCCAAACGGGAATGCAACAGCCTCGTGGAAATACTTAAATTCTACCCAATTACCAAGATGGTCTTAAACATAGCATGATAGTTACAATCAAGAAAAGCAAATCTTCCCTAGTACTCGGCAGCCTCAGTACTATCATATCTAATCCACTAGCTTTCAATGACTAATCTCTAACCGCTCTGATAACCTGAGCGCGTTTCAGGCCTTAGATATGCAGGACTAGAAGTGGCTAGACAGGCAGTTCACGGGCTGTCTAAATGATCCAGAATATTCGACTGTATTCACCATGCACAACCTTCGTGTGTATGTGGCAGGAAACACGGGTCTGAAGGGGACACTCCTAACTCTAACCAATCGTAACAAGGTCTTTCAAAGGTCAAATTTGTTATGAAGGAGTTAGAGCAAAGATTAACCCCAGTGAGCCCTGACTACAGCCAGAGGTGACAAGGGTGGACGGCAAACTATTTAGTGGTGTCAAAATAGATCATCATATAACATCAAGACTCTATCTTGATGGGTTCTATCATATAACATCAAGACTCTATCTTGACGGGCTCTATCATATAACGTCAAGACCTCCACTGTAACCAAAACGAGAACTCTGTTGTGGACGACCATCAAATGATTAAAAATGTAACTATTCCACCTAGAATGAAACACAAGTGAAATCAAAATGTGTGCTAGTGCTAGTGAGGATGAGTGTGCTTGCACCAGACAGATATGAGATGTTCTCTCTATATTGTTACTAGGGATGTGGAAGCTATTGATAGTCAAGAATTTTCTTCTAAATGCACTTGAACTCGGGCCAATACACAGTTTAATTCAAATACAGAACTTTAAGAAAAGGAAAACTTCTACGCAAGCTAATTTCAGTGATTTCTCTCACAAAAAACACTAACCTTCTCATACCTCTATGAAGAAAAAGCAGAAACTTATGGAAAATAAATCACAGTAAATAAAAAGATGAATAAATGTCAGTGGCCCATCACCGCCGACTGGGGGCAGAAAAGCGAGTTAATACATAACATTACAAAACGAGTTGCACTTGCAATAGCCTTTGCAAAGGCTAACCTGTTCAGTGGAGATTACTCTTCCTGAAACGTGCTGTCTGGTGATAGATGGTCTGTCACAAAGAATGTTTCTCAGCAAGTTTGCACGCATCATAAACTTGGGTGTATTGGCCAACAAATTTCTGGTCTGACCATATATTATTATATAACCTCCAGTATTGGAGGTGAGCGCTGCGCCGGGCCCCATCAGAGGACTGACTTCTTGCAGAGTCCACTAACATGGCAGATGTAGCACGCTTCCTGTTAGATCCTGGTCAAGCAGACTATACACTTGAAGTTCCCGCGGGGATGACAGAGATAAATTCGAAGTTGAGACATGTATCATCATCTAGGGACCCATGATGGGCAAATCCACAAGGGCCGTGACGAGGATTCGAACCTACGTCCGAGAGCATTCCAGACGCTGCCTTAATCGACTGAGCTACGACATGGTATAAGAATTGCAACCAGAAATTCTACTGAATTTCTTGTTGCAATTCAGAAATTCTACTGAATTTCTTCTCTGAAGTAGAATTTCTGGTTGAAATTCTTATGCCATGTCGTAGCTCAGTCGATTAAGGCAGCGTCTCGGATGCTCTCAGACGTAGGTTCGAATCCTCGTCACGGCCCTTGTGGATTTGTTCATTTGATGCATCACGCTATTGTGATTTGTGTGTGTCATGATGGGCACTTTGTACTGCATTACCTGTACACCAGTACAATATTACATTAGCACGTCATATTGATGGTGTTATTCTTTGTTAATATCTGCAAAATAAATTGCACAAAATTGATGCAGATGCATGAAATCGTGCCTTGGCTTTGCTTTACCTGCGCTGGTCTCTGAGGAGCTCCTCCGTGTAATGACTCGGGGACGTGTACAACACGAGAAGTACTCGACAAGTGTTCAACATTCTGTTCTCTAGAGTTGCCACAACGTCACAGGAATGATGAACTAAATTGCCCGAACTTAACCTATCCGAGGACCAACGAATAGAAAACGCAGCAGTCCGTTAATTTTTCGAGCCGCTTTGATTTATAGTACATCATATTCTGGCCGTTTGGGGGGTTTATACGTCAAAATGCGATGTACCGTTTGGAGAGTACAGACACCTCTTGTAAGGTCTTAGGCAAGGACAGCTGAGAATCAACAACATGGGGTGACGTACAGTGGGGTGCACGTGCTGTTCAGTGACGTACAGTGAAGTGCACGTGTTGTACAGTGAGGTGGACGTGTTGTACAGTGACGTACAGTGAGGTGTACGAATAGTACACTGACGTACAGTGAGGTGTACAGTGACGTACAGTGAGGTGTACAGTGACGTACAGTGAGGTGTGCGTGTTGTACAGTGATGCTGGGACTGGTGCAACATAACACCTTCATTTGTTAATGTAAATGAGTCTCGCCGGAAGCACAACCATTACGACTGTACAGCAATTGGACGGGGTCAGGATATATGGGATGGGACGTGGGGGGGGGGAAAGGGGGAAGGAATGGTACGCAACCACTTGGGCTCGATGGTAGAGCGACAGTCTCGCTTCATGCAGGTCGACGTTTAATTCCCGACCGTCCAAGTGGTTGGGCACCATTCCTTGCAGAATTGTGCTTCAACACTTAATGGTGGTGACTCTGCGATGGGGCAGCATACTCAAGAACTGGTCTCACGTAGGTGGTGTATAGGGATCTGAAGGCCTCCTTATTTAGGTTCCTGAATGCTGTTCTGATGGTCGCCAGTATATGGGATGTTACTGATATCCCACTCACGTTTGTCCCCAGAGTTAGAAAGGGAGGTTGTTCACCTTGCATTATGTACCGAACTGCTCGTCTCCTGTCACTTCTTGCCATTCTTATCACCTTGCACTTTCTAATATTGATATCCAGTAACCATTTCTCGGATCAACTCTAGAGCTGACCAACCACATTGGTCACTAGCATAGGTGAGAAATAGGATGGATCCCAGCACAGATCCTTGAGGAACACTGCCTATTATCCTACACTGTCAAGTGTTTACTAAACATAAAACACTCTCAGTATTTACAAAGTTAAAATGTAAATGTTACCTATATAACAGCCAATTTAGAAGATAGGACAAACAAAACAAGTCGCCATTATGGCATTAGTCAGTCTAATATATATAATCAAATTCCATTACAGAAATTTAGATCATATTGATTACCATCTCCTCAAGGCGACCGCCTGCCGTAATCAAG